TTTTTTTTTTTTTAAAAGTTATACTTCAATATGTTAATCTACTTTATTTTTTTTCATTTTTTTCATGATATCTAGACCGGTTCTAGAAGCTTTTCCTTATATTTGCGTTTTTCAACCGTGGATGTGGAGGTACTGATGAGATATTTTAAGGAACCTGTTTTCTTGTGTCATTAGAGGGAAGAACGACCCTTCCTGGTTGAAACTACAAGTTGAGAGTACCTACCTGCAGTTTTTTTATAGAATGAACATGATTTTTGATAGTTTTTTGCTACCCAGTTGTTTATTCTTCAGTATTATGTATCTCCTGAGGTAACTCGAAGAATTTTTTGTGCAGCTGCTACCAGTACTTTTAAGGCATCATATTAGTTTCACGTAGAAATAATTAAATTACTGTTGCTAGTTAAGTAAGAATTAGTGATATTTCTTCGTTAGTTTTATGTACGATATGCTCCGTAAATTTGTCTGTAGAAATAATTTTACTTACTTTCATCAAAGCTTCAGAACGATTTCTTGTGCGTGAATACCTTGAATGGCGTTGTTTTACAGACTAAAAGGTAACGTGTGACTAATAAAATAACAATTAAAAGTCAACAGCTAGCAGTTAAAAGTTTTATCTTTTTGACGGACAGTTCCAAAAGTATTACTGCAAGCAACTGTATGGGATCAATTGAAGGAATATAACGAAAATAATACTAGCAAAAAGTGTATTACTTATTTAGACTTAACTACCTACAAGTAACTTAACATTTTTAAGTAAAACTAGTGTTATATACCGGAAATTTCGACAGTAATGGGTAGTGATGAATAGTAAATTTTTTGATTTACCTAAAGAAAGGTATATCACCGTAAACTTCCAATGTTATTAATCCTAGAGGAGTGCTTTATTCTTCTAACTGAACTTCTACTGCAAGACAGCTCAGTCCTAGAGTACTCTGATAACAGATGGAAAATCTGCGGTGTTCATCCCGGAACCGAGCTGTTAGAAATACTATGAAGGTTCGGAGCTCTGTATGTTAAGGATATGTATTGCAGATAGAGACAAAAAGAAACTGGCGTCTCTTGATCGTGCATATGCTTTTTTTTTACTCTAGGTGGTCGCACAAAAACTTGGCAGGTATTCTTTCAAGAGTGGTTATGACTTGTCTGTGACTACATCAGAATTGAAAACAGTGATTTACTAATCTTAGCTTGCTGTTGTTTCTCAATTTCTCTGTACATTTTCCTGGTACTTTCACAAATTTTGAGTAACAGTGGATTGCATTCACTATAAGATAACGACCGGAAGGCTTACATAAGTCTTAAACTGTTGACAAAAGTTCTTTTGATATACGTAATTTTTTTCTAAAAAGTTGATTTGGAGTGTGTCTGATCTTTCGTTTGTGCAAAATTCGTTCAGAGTTGCAACTAAGCAGTATAATTGTGTACACAAGATTTGAAAATGGTAGTTTCTGGAGTTTTTGAATTTCCTTAAATTTATTGTGTAGTTCTTTGATCAATTTTCGTGCAGTTCGAGGTGCGGGGTTGGTTTTATTTGATTAATCATTATTTATTTATTTATTTTTTGGACGAGAGTGAAGAGCTCAAAATAGGAAAAAGGCTGGCTTACAATTGCAGGTTTTTGTTGTTAGTGATCAGTTTCAGAAAAAAGTGATTATTTCATCATCTAGAAGGCAGGAGACGACGATTCACTGGACCGTTTTTCTGCCTCTTCCATCACAGTATTCGGAAATCGAAGAAAATTTTTATTTTTCAATCAAACAATTAGGAAGTATTTGGCCATTTTTGGTAATAAATGATTTATGGCATCTCTAACCCAAAAAGTTTCCAAAAATTAAGTGAAGCGATACATCACTTTCCTCGGTCTTCTGGTTTAGTTATGGCTGAAGTCAGTTCTTCAAATTCATTTGTTTAGTATTGTGGTGTGTGGTTTTTTACTCATGCTTGCTCGCCTAATACTATTTCAATTCAGTTTTCTAATCTCAGTTGGGAGTTACCATCCTTTTCTCCTCTCGCTATCGTCACACTTTTTATAGTTTGAGTCTTTCTTGGGGAGCGAAATTTGTGGAAGCCCACAGATTGCGAGAGTTCCCATATTCTTTATTCTGCTTTTCTGTGTTGCTGACTTTTGCAACCGTTTACTCTTGTTAAATACTCAATCCTTTTTATTACTTAATCTACTGTACTTGTTTGGACAGACAGCTTAATAAGTGACGCAAAGGTTACCCTCTCCTTTATGACTGTGTGCGCATTGTCTATGAACTAGGCAACTTTTCATCGTTCTTCTCGTGCTGTTCACCGAATAAAAGTCGTCAGTATATTATTCTGTGGTTTTAGTTTGAAGAGTTCTCTCAAGGCTTTTAGAGTCATAAAACCACTCAAAGTTGTCATTAATAATTTTGCAATTTTTTTAAAGAAGTGTGAAAAGAGAGGTGAAGTTACCTTCAAAAAAAGTAAGGATGAGAAACGAGGTAAATTACAAAAAGCACCTGGGATATATCGACAACTGAAGTAAGAAAAACTGAAATTTTTTTTTTTTTTCGTGAAACATTTGGAAATGTTGTATGATGTTAAAAAAATTTTTTTACAGCTGCCACGTTTGTACGGTTTTAGCTGTTCTTTTTTTTTTTCCGTGGAAATAATTCATAAACTTATGCTTGTTTTTTTTTTTCCCCATGGAAAGAGTGCAAAGAACCCTGTTTAATCTATAGTTTAGGGAGGGGAGTCAGCTTTGCAGCCAATTGAAAACATTTAGCCAGTCAAAGTCCTGTTCGTTGTTACGACCCATACTCGTCTTCCCTAAAGATCTTAGCGATTTCCTCGAAACTGACCGGAAGTCACCTAAAAAAGTCTTTGCTCTTCTTTTCTGTTTCCTCTTGTTGGGAAACTTTTAAATCTATTCGTTCAGTTGGCACCCATAGCTGCGATATCCAAAGTCCCATTCGCTGATGGTCATGCAATATGTTCAACCACCAATTCATTTCGAAAGAATTAGTTGTGAAGAAATATAGAGTAATTTATTGCAAACTGCAATTGATTTTCTTTTTGACTGCTGTGGTTTTTTTTTCCAAAATTTATGACTGGTCATATAAATATTGCGCACAGGAAATAACATACTTCCTGAGGACAGTTTAATAATTAAGCCACCAAAGATACATAGTTCTGCTGTCTCATCTATCTTGAACAGAACAAGGAGTAAAATGTTGCGTATTATTTTGCAATACCAGTAGGTGCCTTGAAAATCAGTTGAGGAAGTAAATACAGTGCAATAAAGCCAGCAGAGGAGTCGTTATAAAATGGTCAGAAAGATTAAGTTATCTTTAGTTTGGATGTTCTAAAAAATCCGTTGTGTAATTGAGTACTGGTTGCAGTATGTTCTCATTACCTTTCGCAATGTATTTTTGAGAAAGTGGGCGACTGCTTTTGTCGTTTTTTGGAAAATGAACACTTTTAGGAGTGGTTCTATTTTTCAGTGAGTACAGATGGAAAATATTAAAAACTCGGAATGGATTTTATTAGTGCTTCTTATGCTTTACATTGTGATGGCTCCTGGGACTAAAGTTGAAGAAAGTTTTAATGTGCAAGCAATTCACGATTTACTGTACCATCGTCTTAACATTTCAGCGGTTAGTTCAATTCTTCCTTTATAGTAAATGTCCGTCTTTTTCCACATCACAAAATGATGTTTTGAAAAATTATTGTTTTTTTGATTTTTCAATTTAATGTTGGTGAGGACTTAGTTTGATTCTTTTCCAGTATGATCACCATGAATTCCCTGGCGTCGTTCCACGGACTTTTATTGGTCCCTTAGCTCTCAGCTTTGTCCTTCTTCCATTTATAGACATATGCAACCACTTTAATGTTTCGAAATTATGGGTTTTGTTTACAGGTGACCTTTCTCTCCATTTCCTAACGTAACTTCAGTATAAGCACAAATAATATAAACATTTAAAGAACCTTAAAGCTGCGTTTAAAGCTATATGGGAAATAAGATTGACGAACATGCACTTTTTTTCTTAGGAACTACCTTACATTGTAGATTTTTGATTAAAAAAACGCGGAATAGCCAATCTGAAGTGGTTTTCATAACTAGCATTACCCCAGTGGTTACTGTGAACAGTTTAGAGGTAGTAATTTAGAAATCTTTTATTAGTTCGACACCTTGAAACTTACACTTGTCATATTCAGTGAGTAGGAACGAGTAGTCTTTTCCCCAAGTTTTAACATCAAGCCATATCAATTTTTGGTTTTTTGGTAATGAGGCATATAGTGGATATGGCTGCAAAACTCGCAGTTGATATTCAACAGTAATTTGGAGTCGATACGGGTATCCCTGGCCGAGATCTTTGCCTGGAGTACTGTTTCCAGTATGGTTTAAATCAGTTAAGATTATTGCTTTCTGGTTTAGAATTTTTAAGTGGTTCTGGCTAACGAATTATGTTCAAGTTCTTAAAGTTTTGTGCAGACGTGTGTGTCTTTTCTCCTGGATAAAGGGAGCAGGCTAATTGTTTTGAAATTTTGCTGGAACTGTGAATTACTAAAGCATTATAGTGACCGTCTGTCTAAGCTCCAAATGTTTTACAGTTTCATGAGCATTCTGTTTCATCTTTACACTTATCTTCGTGAGCGTCAAAGTCTCAGATTCCCTAAATCGCTTTACTGTATGACCTTTATGATTCCTTCAAATTTCTTACATGGACTTCATAGCTTTTGTTGACTCTCACTGCTTCCTCCTCCAGAATTGTTTGCTGTCTCTCTGAATTTTGTAATGATGAATCGCTTGAGAATTCATCTCCTGTTTTTTACCAAGGGTATCCGGTATTGCTGATTAACAGGAAATTTAGACCACAAAAAGGTCATGTGATGCTTTTTAATATTTCTTACTTCAACGTGTTATTCAACTACTCCGCCACAAATTGATCATCTTTCATCATATCATTTGATTAGTGATGTAGCTTCCTAACCTTGCAACTGCTCACAAGCTGTTTGTGCCCTCGTATGCTGGTAATAACTGGTACCAGAACAGCATGTAGAGATAATATGGAGTCTAGAATTTAATCTGTTAATTTTTAAGGCACTATTTATTGTAAAAACGCAGTTTTAAAGATAGATAGACTTTTGTGTTTGAGAGGGTAGTTTTGCACCAGAAGAGGGTTAATCTCACTTCTTTACTTCCGTTGACTGAGTTTGGATAGGAGTGTGAATCGGCTTCAACTGAACTCTAAGGGCACGCTGGTTTGATGGCATCTAGAATGAAAGACACGGGAATTTTTTTATTGATTGTTCTGGTGAGGGTTTTTTTTCGAAAGGTAACATTTATGCGTTGTCGGTGCTCTCATGCTGTTCTGCTATAGCCCAGTCAAGGAATTATGTGAACTGTTCAGTACAGGAGTAAACATTATACGCGTCCGGGCGTCAAAGGTTTCTTTCGCTAAGCTGAACTGGAAACCAAATTTGATAAAAAATTTCTTTTTAGAGTGATTTTGGAAAAGAAATTTTAAGGTTTTGTGATCAGTATTAGAAGCTTTTTTTGGGCCTATCTTGAATATTTTTTTGGTCTTAGACCTTTAATCAGAACTTTTTTTTTCTTTACTGTAAGCATATGTTGCCTTCTCATTGTGTTTCGTATTATTTCTATATAAGATGTAGTTTTTTAGTTCGTTTTGTTCTGGGGATCGCTGTACTTATAGGATTCTGCAATTTTGCTAGATGTGTTGAGAAACATTTTGGTCGTATGACAGGCAAATTTCTGAGGTTTGTTTTGTACTTTAAGAGTTTAACCAATCACTTTCTAATTTTGAAACATAGCTTTAAAAAAATTTTTTCTACTTGTTGGAGATTATTATTGGTTTCTACCCCACCAGTTCTTTGCATTTGTAGCTTGAAATATAAGGAAACTTCATTTCACAAAGTATGAGTTTTGAAGTTTGTTGTTCCAGTGCATTTTTACTATTTCCAGACACCATAAAAAATGTTCACTTTGTTTTATCATATATATATATATATATATATATATATATATAT